TGTGCAAATTCTCAGAGGGAGAATGCTGCAACTATCAGAATGGTTGAAGGCAGTGGAAAAACATTATATGGACCATATAATGTACCACAAGTATTAATGTTGGTGTTGGCCAGTTGTTTAGGTTAAACATTACATATAAAGGATCAATGTTGTAATCAACTGTTAGTTGACTTATACTTTAAAACAACTCTACAGAAATAGAATCCAAACTTTAAATGATCTTCCTTTTGCTGCAAAATTCACAGAAAACCCAAAGCGTGAAGAGCAGGCTGTAGGAGCATTTTTTGTAATGTTTGTGTTCAGATAAGCTGAGCATATCTTGTGCTCATCTTTTTTTCCTGAATGCAGAGACAGATATGATCGTCTCCTTTAACTCCCAGCAAGATATTTTGGTGAGAAAAACACCGTCTTCACCAACATTTTAGAAATGTCTATTTTCCCATAGATACTTACATGGAATAACACACTATGACATAAACCAGTAAGTCTGTGTCGTTTGTGTTTCCGGGATGCGCTGAAGAGTATCGTGAAAAGGAAACAGAGTGACGCAGAGTGGACCTCAGTTTGTGATTATAACAGTGAGATAGCTCAAACTCTGCTGCACTGCACAGCCTCGCTCTTCCGTGGAAATGGCCTGTGCATACACACAGACCATACAAGTACTTACATGCTTACTCCTCAGCAATACTACCAATGTATTTGCTCCCATTCAGTTAGAAAGCTATGAATTTTACTAGCGGCAAAGATGGTGAAACCTGGATTATTCAACATGATGAAGTTTGTATGCTGGGGGGGGGGCAGCATTACTAAACATATCTAACATCATTCTAGATTTATGAGTCTGCTGAGATTTTAACAAAGATTTTTCAAAAATCAAATGACAGATTATAGTTGCACAAATATAAACTTCACTGTGGACACCTGGTACCAGTTGCTTGGCAACTGTGTTTTACTGAACTTTGGTCGGTGATGCCGGCTTGCAAGTTGCTTTCAGGGTTTTTCCCACCCATGATGCAACTGTCTGGTTAAACTGTGTGTGAGCTGGTACATGTTCCTACAGCCAGGCTGATGATTCACCTGAGACAGACAGAATCAAACCCTTAAAGGCTAAAAGCAGCAAATCGCGTGTGTGCCCTGACAATCACCCTACCAACTGGAAATATTCCTGTTAAGCCTAGAAGCTTCTATAAAGATTATTTGGTACTGTTCTAACGCACACCCTGAGAAATTGCGGGTTTTAAAATATTATAAAATAACTCCATACCTTCCTCACCTTCCTCATAGGCAGGATTAATGAGCCCAGGCTCGGGCTGATCCCGGGTTGAATTTCGAGACAGTGTTGCTGAGTGTTTCGCATCTCCAGACCCTTCTCCGTCACCCTTACGTCCCTTTAATTCATTCCATGAGGGCCTCTTCCTCTTCTCTGCTTCCTCTCTGAGTCTTCTAAAAACAGGACATCTGAGGATTGACAGAAGCATGAAGAACATTAAAGTGGGTGAATTAGTGATGTTAAAAGGAGTTGAAAGAGAATCTTTTATTACAATTTGGAGCTACAGCTTTATATTCTTTTACTAGAGTATCTTTCCAAACAATTCTCATTTCCCTTATGCTGTGCAGCCCATCAGTCCATCCACTGTCTGAAACAAGCTGCTTTTACTTCCATCCCTTCCCTTTAAAAAACAACTTTCCTCTAATTAGCTGCTCATCAGAAACAAAGTTTGAAGAGCAGTTAGGTGATGAAGCTGTGTTCAAGACCAGTGCTGTTGAGATGACAACACCAAGGAAATCCCCTCCCATTGACATCATACAGATCTGACAGAAAAGAAAAAAACCGAGCATTACAGCTGTCGGAGTTTTTGGCTCAAAGGAATTAATTCTACATATGATTACATCATTTGAACTTTGGCCACATTTAATAGGAGATCCCACCTTTGTAGCTGTATTCATATATAAGTGAAGATAATGAAAAATATTATAGGTACATGTACAGGAACGGCTGAAAATGAACTCAGGGAACAAAATTCAATGTTAACTGTGTTTTGTGAGAGCAAAGAGACCAGAGGAGAAGCACTATGCAGATTTCTCTGCATTGCAGAGTGTCTGTTGAGACAGGCTGAATCTGATTAAGCCTGTGCTGGAACCGGTGCCTGGTCTTCATGCCTGAACTTTGCCTCCTCACTGTTTACACAGAGAAGCTGCAGCAAGCTAATTTTCCTCCCACAACTGACTGCGTCATAGCGGCCACTGGACGATAAGCACCACACTCTCCATGTGAAAACAAGAAGAGTGACCTGTGCCTCGTATTGAACACAATAACTACACAGCTGTGTGTTCACAAACGAACTATGCTACCAGCAATAGCTGGTAGAGTTTCAAAGAGGACACAGCTACGGTGGCCCTGAAAGGTCAAACGGACTGCGAGTTAAGAAAACACCAACAAACGGAAAAGCATACAAAACATGACTAAAATAGAGAAAAGAACGGATATAGAAAAAAAAATAATAAAAAAAACACATGACAAGAAGTAGAAAAAGGTTTGCACTTTTGGTGTTTGAGGATTCATCTGTGTTGCGAGAGAGAAAAAGATGCAGGTGATATGCAGTTTAAACACATCATTCATATAATACTGTAGATACGTGTTTGTTATTAGCCTGTTAGCTTGTCACTTTTTATTTTTAAATGGCTTTTGCTGCATCTTTTCTATTTCTGTTGTATTTTATTCAACTTCCATTGTGTTTTGTGTGTTTTCTTAAGCTTGAGCACATTTGACCTCTCAAGGCCACCGTACAAAAACACAGCTATAGACGTTATGTTTTTCTTTTCTTATTTCCGGCAAAGTAATCAGAATTTTCTCACAAAACCCTGCAGATCTTGTGTTTATCTAAGTTTTTCTTCTTGTTGTCGTTTCGACGAGAATGGTAAGCTACAATACTCGTGCCTGTAAGCCAAATATGAGGCTATAAATAACAGTTAGCTTAATCGACAAACTGGAAAAAGGGAACAAATTTAGGTGGCTCTTTCCAAAGCTTAAAAAAAAGAAAAAAGAAACTGCCTTCCTGCACTTAGTCATCTTACTAATTAACAAGCCTGCAATAAATCTTTAATCTGTCACATGAATCCCCCTGTAAATCTGTGATATGGCCACGTTACACATCAACTGTCAGATTAACAAACAGTTTCCGCAGTTCTGCAAGGTGGACAGGCTAGATGTCTTCAAGCTAGGCTAAACTAAACGAAAGCCAGCTGTAGCTTCAGATTGAGTAAACAGCCATTCAACACTCGTCTTAACTCTTACCTAAAAAGCAAGAAAGCAAATGTTTCTGAAAAAGTGCAACAGTTCTTGTGACAACCACATGGCCGATGAGTTAGGTCGCTGGTAGTTTACACAAGAAGGCATCAGAGATGAACATGAATATAACATAGGACACATTACATAAACACCATCATAAACTACAACCTTTGTCTGAAGCAGGCAGATGGTTCAAAATGAAGGAAAACTAGGTAAAACTATTGCACTGCGTATAATGTCGTCATAAGATACTCATAATAGCTTTAGTTTCATGTGTGTTAGAACTGTGAAGGTCAAACAGTATCCACAGTCAGCATCCCACTGAGTCTTACCTGTTGTGCAGGTGAGGCTGCAATTCACAGCGCTGCATCGTCTGCTGGCACTCCGCACAGTGTGGGCACATAACCGTCAACTTGTCCAGCAGGTTCCTGACCAGCAGGCTGGAGGGACGGCACTGATGTAACTGCAGCCGCTGGCGGTCCACAGGGCAGAAGTCCTGCTCCTTCAAAAAGCTGCTCAAACAATGAAAGCAGTAAGTGTGGCCGCACGGTGTGTCCATTGGCTTCAGTAAAGGCTGCAGACAAATGTGGCAAACCAGTTCATCGTCCACCTCATCCTGGTACTCGTACAAGTGGGAGTCCTGGCTGTCGTGCTGCTGGCCGCACTCCTTACAGACGCGTGCCCACGACAGGCCCACAGTGCTGCTGCCGCTAACTTTGGTTTCTGTTGTAGCCATTATCTGAGAGAGCTCAGTCCAGTTTTCTGTGTCTGGAAAGGATCAGCGCGCTCTTATCTCCTCACAAACTCTTTTAGTATATTTCATAAGTCTACGTTTGCATTCCCACAGCCAAATCCACTCCAGCAGTGAAGCAGTTTATCCAGAGTCGAAAATGTTATCTCCACATCTTCATGTTGCTTCTCTGTTGAGAGAGAAACACAGTTAAGTGTACAGCAGACCATTCCTACTTAAACTGGGCAGCTACACAGGAAATGACAAATCCACAAAGCTGCAGCAATATGGCAGCAAGCTACAGCTGCTTCCTCTCAGCAAGTTTCCTGAGGGACAAAAGGAATTCTCATCTCAGCTAAAAGTCACAGTGCTTCTCACTGAAAGCGCTGAACTCTGTGAAATGAGCCAGAAGAAAACAGACTAAAGTCAACCTTCTGTTAATGGGAAGGAACAAAGGCAAAGCACGCACGGGAGTAAGAATTCTGAATGAACTGGGCAGAAACGCAATCCCCTTCACTAATGACCCCTTGCACCCAAACGGCAGTGGTCTCTATCCCTTTGTGCAGGTCGTAATCTCCTTTTAATTCCCTCTCATAAGAAGAGCACTGATTAGAGAGAAACTGGAGAAACTTTTAGACAACCTCTCCAAATAAGAACAAATGAAGAAACATCACAAATTACACCAAATGTACTGAGGTGGATATTGTGAGGACACATCATCCATCAAAACAGTTTGTTTGCGGATGGAAATAATCAGTGATTATTTATTAACTGCTTTATTAACTTGATTAGCAAAATAGCTTGATGTACTTTCAGAATACTTTGGACTGTCAGAAAGGCTAAGAAATCCACAAAGACCATCATAAGACACATGGCTTTATCTTACTGATGCAAATCAACTAAAGACAAATGTTCTGTTGCACATAAGAACATGACAAAATGAGCCACCACAATAAAGTCCCTATGTTCAGGTCCCCTGTCTTTGTGATCGCAGCGCTGATTTCAGACACAAAAAGACTGCTTTATCTTCGGTGTTATTGAAGCGACTCACCCGAGATGATATCTTTGCTGTCAAGCGCCCAGTAGCCACTGCACGCAAAGGAGAGACTCTAGCAGTTGCCTGAAGCCTGAATGAAACCAGAACCCTGCCTCCTCACCAGCAGACCGTCAGAATAATGACTGTGTGTGTGTGAAAGAGAGAGAGAGAGAGAGACTACGTGTGTGTATGTGCATCAGTGTGGATGTGTATGAGCTCCAATTGCACCGGTGTGAGGAATGCAGAGGGGAATTGAATATAACTAGGCACCATGAGAGGAAAGGAGAAATGGTTGTTCTGCCTCCATCATCAGTGCCTCGGTGTGTGTGTGTGTGAGTGTGTGTATGTGAGTACGTGCGTAGGTTTGGGGGTTGGTGGCTCAGACTGCTGATGTTGCACTACCACAGGTAAAGTACTCTCAGTAGCTGAATGAATGACTGCAAACACAAAAGCCTGGTTATAAATACGTGCAAACATCTCTCCATATACATGCACACAGGCCTTCTCCCTTCTCTTTCTTCACTTTGTACAGCCGATACCCATTCCTGTTACGAATCGGGGTCAAGGATACTGTAGCACAGAGACACACACAGTAAAAACCAGGCTACGCTCCATTTACCTTGAAAACACATCACTCGGTGGATGACGGTAAAGTAAAATCCACCATCTGAATTAATGAAGAGGTAACAATTCAGCCAGGCTTTACATTAAAGGTGCATTTGATTTGTGCTACAGTGACATGCACTAGCTAGTCTTAGAGAGCTTCCGAAAGGTTTTGTATTCCAACACGCCCTCATTAAACATGGCTTCATAGGAGGATAAATAGCATCCTGAAAAATGATGGTAATCTCAGAATCGCTGGCTGTAACGCTATTAGCCTTTTAACCATGTTCCTTTAAAAAAAAAAAAAAACATGACCTCGATCAAAGTACTCATCTTTCTTGGGAATTCCCACGTGAAATGGAGAGTTTTCAAAAAGTTACAGCATAATGTGGTCAAGTAACAACCTCCAGGGCTGAAAAATGAAGCCAAAGTAAGAAAGCGCTACAAACTGCAGGCACTGCTTTTGTTTCAAAGCGTGTTAATCTCTTTAAAATGTCCAATGTCAAAGCAGAAAAAAACCACTTTAAAACTATGCAGAAAAAAAGGGTTTTTGTCTCTATAGGTCATTCTACGCTTCATAACAGGTAAAGATGAATATTTCATAGCTGATCCATTTAAATTGTGTTATTACGTTTGTATTAAGTATTAGAGGTGTGGAAATGAGAAAGTGTCTACTTTAAAAGAAAATTAAAGCCCACGCTTATGAAACCAGCGGTTTTGAAATAGATATGGTGAAATATGTTAAGAGGCAACCAAAGAGGAAAGGCTACACCAGGGAACACCTTATCCAAATCAAATGCCTTGTAGTCATGTGACAGCGTAAGCTTTTGAGGGAAGTGTCTGTGGCCCTACAGAGTACTTTGGTCTCTTTTAGAGGATTACCTGAGGTGGCGTTTCTTCAAAGCCGGGCCCAATCCCATGCCTTGATAGCTGATATGAGTGAATCACATGTGCTGCCACACCCTCGGTGAACACAGGTGAGGCCATGTTAGACAGTAATTTCTCAGGTCCATGAGACAGGAGGTGTGCCATGTCTGCCTCTACCTTCCATTAATGTCTGGCATTAAATGACAATACCGCACTTAGAATGGAAAATTAATGGAATTAGTTACCCAGACATGAATAACTCTTAATCATCAGGCGAGCATTTCTCAGAGATTAAACCACATTTTTGCTTATGACTTGAATATGTTCTGAAGCCTGTAATTCCTTAAGAAAATTACACTGCCTTGTTTTTCCTCAGTCCAGATGATGAATCGTTCCAGTGGTCAAGGTAACGTGAGATAAGCAGGATGCCAGGAGACTAGGGAGAAATGTCTTATCATCCATGGTGGAAGTCTGACTGATTACTCTGTGTGTATGTTTTACTCCCTGTTTGTAACTCTTAGCTTTCAGTAACTTTATTATCTATAATAAAGATTACTTTTTGATTGCAAGGACTATTTTTTCTCTTGAGCGTCTTGAACTGAAATTGAATCTAATCTTTATAATCAAAGTTCAACGCCACGTGTTTTGAGCAGTCTCTGAGAAATCTTATGTAACTGCTATAGCAACAGGATGCAAAGTCCTCTGTTTTAAATACAATCACCAGTATTTGCATTGCATATCTACTGTGTGTGGACAAAATCAATAATCATTTCCAACAACACAATAAAACCATAATTTGCCAAAAATGCCTTCCCCCAGTTTAGCTTCTCTTTGGCTCAAATATACATACAAGTAAAGCTTCTTAAAGCAGACTCGTGCACAGTGTGGTGTGGAGCCAGTCTCATAACCACAAATCATGCACAGAGGTCAAGCTTGTTTGCACAAGGCATACAAGCCTCCCAGTGTACAGCAGCCAAGCAAACACCACATATGTATATAATTTCATTATGTTATTACAGAGAGAAAACTGGGGCTGTAATTCATGAACAAAATCCCCACGAAAAAATATCCTCAGCAGAGGATTAGTTTGTCAACAGTTTCTTTCTTTTTTTAAATTTCTAATAGTTCAGCATTAAAAAAAAAATTGCATCCTCTGCTCTGGATTCATTTACAGCAGGAGTGACACAAATATAAGATTCCTGTGCATTTGATTCAAGACGTATAGTTATTTAACTGAAACAGGTTAACTTAATCCAACTGTGAACAAAAGAACAAAAGCAGTTTCAAGCCATTACAATAACAACACCACTACACACAATTACACTATAACAGTATAAATTTAATACCAATAGCACAAACAAAAAAAACAGGCCCACTGAGGCATTTTGTCCATTTGTAAACTAAAAATAATGAGTTTACTCCAGAGGCAACCTGGCAAGAAAAGATAAATCATCGCATATCAACTCTATCAAACCTCTATCGAGATCTGGCAAACACACAGTCAGTGTTAAATACCAGAGCTGTGTGGTAATCAACCAACACCTGCGGCAAGGTCTTTAACCCTTAGAGAGTGTTGCAACCAATACACAAAAGACCCACGCACACATAGTGAAGTTTTTATGTTTGTGCCACTTTTGCAGCTTGTAAGTGGTGAAAGAGGTTCTTAAGCATAATGGCTTCTTTAGAGTACATTTATTCTAATATGTGGTGATAATATAAGTCATATACTGTATTAGTTTACTGGGTAAGTAGACATGTTTTGATCACATGCCACAAAAAACAAGTAGTCTTCACTGCACTGATGTGGAACATCTGGAGTTCTTTGTGGTTTTAGCTTAGGAACGACTGATCCTATTGAGGGCTAAAGGCCACCGTTGGGGAGTGTCTTTGGTTTACATCAAACAGAGTTAAGGTCTATTGTATTTTTCAAAACATCAGGATGAATCAAGGTTTCTCAGCAGAACATCACATTTAAGTAAATGCTAACTAACAGACCCGGTCAGTGGATTTAATACTGTGGCTCATCTTTATTATTTCCTCTCTGAAATTTACATTTCATAGAAATAATAAGGAAAGCAGGCTAAAAACTTCAAACGCCTTCAGATTGAATAAATAACCATTTTCTCTGCATAGTTAAAAATTTCGCACATGGAAAAAACACAGGTACTCGGTGACAGCAACTGGGGCATCTGCGATCATTTTCCACTCTGCCTGCCTGGATGTGCGTGCTGTCACTGCCACCATAAATAACTCACTGTCCCTCCATTGACAACCGACGGCTGTTGCTGAGCTCCTAATCACAACACCACCTTGACAGATCCAAATGACAGAGGGGGCAATAAAAGCAGCTCTTCATAGGTATCGGCCAGGATACTGGTTAATGAGGCAGGTAAAGTGAGAGCATGAAGACATTGCTTCACCTTCAGCTACACCGTGTGTGCCCCGCGGAGAAAGCGCTAACTGCTACACACCTTGAGCGACTTACTTTTCCGTGAAAGCGCGAATTTTGCGCTCTAAGACTCGTTTACGCGAACAGAGTGCTCACATGAAGCGTAAAAGAAAGAATACAACGGCTACTAATGATATTTGTACACAGAAACGAAGAGAATTTGCCAAAGTCGAAGCCGAAACTCGTCTTACCTGTGTGAAGGTTGTTTTCCGGAAGCAGAAGCAAACGTGTCGCAAGCTAGAACAGCGAGGTCTTTGTGAAGTCGGACAGCAGCGAAATGAAAACGGCACAAAGTCTGGCCAGTGTCTCCCCCGAGCTGGTTTTCATTAACTACTTATATCTTTTCTTTCTTTCTTTTTACCACATAGCAGCCGTTGACCTGTCCCAGGTGCAGCTGAACCTGCAGGCGAAGACTGGGCGTCTTTCCCAGTTTCGAGCAAACACACTGAACCAAAAAGAGGTTGAGCACCGGAGGGAAGTCCATGCAGGTGTACACAGTACCGTCCCCTTTTCCAAGGCAGTAGGTTTTACATAACAGCCCGCTCTTTCCAGGCAGACAAAACACTCTTTCAAAGCAGTAACTCACCCCAAAGCATTATATTTTGCTTTGATATCTAACTCTATATATCCATCTATGACAAAATGGAAAAAACACTCCCATTATTTTAAAAAGAGACGCATATTCATGCCTTTTTTTAATTTTATTTTCATTTTTTTTTTAATGATACACAAAGTATGCAAGTAATTAATTTTTTCACTTTTTCAAAGTGCCTTCATCTCAGTTATTGTGAGTTTTGTACAGTGCAACATTCAGTTTTAGATGTGTGAGGTCACAGATGCTAAAACAAAAACAAAAAACACCAACAGCCAGCCTGTTTACATATAAACTGGTGTGCTGGTAATAAAAACCCACTGTCTGGTTTCTGAATATTCTCTGATGATAAAGAAAATAAAGGCTATATGGTGAGATAGCATGTAGCAGAAATGGATATTCATTTAGAAATATGCAATTCTGTACATATGGAAAGTGTGTTTAGTGTATATTATATCCATTTGTAAATGGCAGCAATAACTCTTGTGCAGTTTTTTGGCCTTTTTTATTTATATGCTATTTTTCTAATATATCTCTAGCTTACTCTTTCTTGCTGGCCCCTGTGCTGGTATAACATGTGAATTTCCCCAGTGTGGGGTTAATAAAGTTTATTTCTATTATGAAACCAGGTTTGCAGGGGTTTGACAAAACCTGTTTTGCTCTTTCCCAGGTCCATATTTTTTATTCTTGGACCCCAGTAGAACCCCTTTGTTCATCCTGTGACTAAAAATGGATCTTTATTGGATCCGGTGCAGTTTACTTACCAGCCTGGCGTCTGGGGGAGGACGCCATCATCTACCTCCTGCACCGAGCTCTGACTCACCTGGAGAAGCCTGGAAGCACTGTGAGGATCATGTTCTTTGATTTCTCCAGTGCTTTCAACACCATCCAGCCACGACTTCTGAGAGACAAGCTGGAGCTACCAGGAGTGGACCACCACATGTCCCAGTGGATACTGGACTACCTCACAGGATGCCCACAGTATGTGAGGACACAGGGCTGTGTCTCTGATATGCTGGTCTGCAGTACGGGGGCCCCACAGGGAACTGGCACTGTTCCTCTTCACCCTCTACACTGCAGACTCCAACTCCCCACGCTGCCACCTATAGACGTTCTCTGACGACTCTGCCATAGTCGGCCTAATCACAGGTGAGGACGACTCAAAGTACAGACAGTGGACTCTGGACTTTGTGGACTGGTGCCAGCAGAACTACCTGCTGATCAACGCCGGAAAAACCAAGGAGTTGGTGGTGGCCAGTGACAGACTGCTGTATCCTAGATGCATGAAGGAGCGTTTCTGCAGGTCCTTCCTCCCTGCAGCTGTCAGACTGTACAATCAAAACTGCTCCCAACAAACATGAATGTTTACATCAGCGCTGTAATTTGCACTAATCAACCGAACAACTACTAATGTTATAACTTGAACATTATTTTTCTCATTTAATATATAGATAGATAGATAGATAGATAGATAGATTGTAGCAGTGTGTGTACCCCACAATTCAGTAGCTTGTAGAGCCACCTTTAGTATAACTTGAAGTTATTTCAGGCAGGTAGAGGTCTGGACTTTGGCTGGGACATTGCAAGAGCCTTTCTGTTTAACCCATTCAAGCACTTTAAGTTCTCAGTTAGAGTAGAAAAGTGCTATATAAGAACCAGTCCATTTACCAAATACTATTTTATCATTCTATTGTAGATTTGCTGCTTTGCTTGGAATTATTATCTTATTTCATAACACAGTTTTGGCCAAGCTTAAGTCCTCACATTTGACTTTAGAATACTTTGATATACAGAGGTGCAAAGGTCCTGTGGCTGCAAAACAAACTTAAATCATCAATCCTCCACCACCGAGCTTGACAGCTGGTATGATGTATTTGTTTTTTACCAAATGTGTCCACTTTGGTCTGATCTGTCCAGAAGACATTACTAGAAGCACTTAATTCAGTAGTTACTTTGTTTCCTATGGAAGCAGTAAATGTCTCTTTACTCTACTGAATGAGCATTCAGCCAGAGGGGGAAGGAAGAACTCTATTTTAACAAAAACAGACCTCCACCAGGCTCAGGAAGGCGCAGCCATGGATAAGAGTTTAAACTGTGATACAGCAGATACATGATACACAGCCTGCATTAACTGTGCGATGTGGTGTAAGGTAACTAAGAACGTTTGCTCATGTACGATCCTTTAATTGTATATTTCAAACTGTAACTGTCTAAATGTGCATTTCTACGATGTTCTGGATGGAGAAATGGGAAGTGTGATACTTGCTACTTGAATCCCAAACTAGTGAGCTTGCAGCTCACTTGCAGAGCTCTCTAAAGGGTTCCTGCTCTGTATTTGAAAAGGCCGAATATTTGAATCACTTTATAGCAGCGCAATAAAACATTTCCCTTTGGGGGTTTTTGTTTTTTTTTGCATGTCTAGACTTCAAATTTGCATCAAAGTCAGCATGAAGATTTTAGACAAAATGTACTTTATACATAATTACTAGGCTATAGTGCATATGATTATCCACAGTGGCCGTTGTGATTATGATAGCTGATGCATGTTATGTGTTTTTCTAATTAACTGACACATATACAAATGCCAGGAAGTTAAAAAAAAATTCACAGCACAGTAACTCAGAACTAGCGAATGCTGGCATTTCCCTTAATAAATTACTTTCCAAACACCTTTGCAAAACTGTAGAAAAATACTAGCAGTTTTGGCACTGCACCAGTTAAAAGGGCTGTGACACATGGACAGTGTAAAGCACGATACCCCCTACAGAAAGGAAGGGAAGTCTCAGTGCCATAAAACCTCTCTGTGAAAGCCTGTTCACCCCAGGATTTATAGCTGTGTTAGGAAGCTTCAATTCAAAGTGACATTTGCTGATACAAGCTCACAGAATGAAGCTCTCCACGAGGCAATACAGATGTCACGTGGTCTGTATTTCATAAGAGAGCAGGGAAGTCGGGCCGCACATCTTTCATGATCTTTAGGGTTTCTTTGCTGACATTATTATTAAAATTAGAACATAAATAAATCAGTTGTAAAAGCACAATGGAGCACCTTTCATTTGATTTTGTGGAAAGATCTTTGCATAATTGAAAATGCTGTGATTGCTTACCCAACATTTTCACAACAACAGAAAAAAGAGCAAATATCTAACTAAAAGTCACTTTAAAGTAGTCCAAACAAATATTATGAGTGCTTGTATTTCATAACAACACTTTTTGCTGTCAAATTTAAACAAATCATGCCAGAAACATTATTTACAGCAACCATATTGGTATGTGATACATGTGAAATGGGTCACAAAAACTATGAGGGCCTCCATGTGTTGGTGAAATAGATGAGAAAGAGTGACACCATGTGTTTAGGTTAGGTACTATAACTCAATTTATTTATTTTTAAAAAGTACTAAATGCAAATATATATAAACCTACTAATAAAGCTAAACACATATACACATATTGGTAACAGAGTATCTGTGGTTTTGATATTGATTGATTAAACATGAAACAGGATATCTATCAGAAAATCTCATCTCAGTATGCAGAGCCTTTGTACAGATCTGGTTTCTGTCATTGACAAAAAGCACATGTCTTTCCTTGTCTTTCTTTTTTTTGAATTTTGGCCCATGATGAGAAGGTTGGAAGTAAGTTGCAAAGACAGATAAAAGACAAACAATGGCCAAACAATAAAACGTATCCCAAAGTCTCGCTCTCGCACACACAGAAAGGACCCACAGCTCTGTGTTTGACTTGTGGCGCCTACAAACAAGAAACAGGCTGTTTGTCTTCCCCGGGATCAGTAAACATCCTCAACACAAACAAGTTCTTCTGGAGTGAGAGAGGAGAAACTCACACCATCAGGGCAGCTGCACTCTCACTCCACCTCAGCCTTTGATGTCCTTCGGAGAGAGCTGATAATGAAGGCTCCTTACATCTTAATTCTTTTAATTGGAGTGTGGATGTAACAGGTTGCTGATACCAGATTCTTTGGCTTGATGAGGAGAAATTTTGTCCAGTTTCTTTCATAAAGAGTCACACCTCTCCTGATAGATCACAGTAAAAAAAAAAAAAGACATACGGGGCATGCCTTCAAGCACAGCTCACAAATATTCAGTTTGTTTTCTTTGCTTTCAAAATGACACTTCTCCTAAACAGCTGGGTGCTGTAGTTGTGACCAAACACGACTTCAGCTGCAGTAAAAAGTGTATTAGACTAGTGTTCTTTTCAGGTCTTACACAATGGCGCATGTAAGATTACATAAAATCCATTTTAAAAAAGCACTGTAATGAGGTAAAAGGTCACTGTGATGTGTTTTTTTAATGATTTTTTGGTCCACTGGGGACCAAGGGCTCAGAGGCATCAATGACATAACAATGCATGTAAGACAACATCATTTAAAGCAACTTGATGAGAATGAAGAAAACTACTAGTTTCCTTCGTCTTTGTAGTGTAACGCTTCTCATTGGGCCTTACTTTGCAAATGAGCGAAGGGGCGTTTGTGTGTGTGGTCTTTTGTTTTTAGCTGTTGCTAAGGGGAAACCAAGGACACTGTAACACTGCAGCAGCTTGCCTACTCCTCCTCTGGCCACTCCAGGCAAAAGAAAGAAAATAAAAATAAAATAAACCTTCTGCAGCTCGCCCTGGGCAAGACAACGAGGCATTTGGTTCAGGCAGCAGCTCGCACTGTAGCCTCAGGTCCTGTCTGGCTTGCACATGATAGATTTTAATCAGTGACTTATGACCCAAACCAGACTACACTCACTGCATTCAAGCTTCGGTAATCTCACAGTCAGCTGTGGTTCATTTTGGACAACACTGCTAAAGATTTGCTGAGTCATAGTTAATTTTTCTTCTTTTTTTTTTACACTGTTAACTGTTCACCTATTTTTTTTA